CTTCCCTTTTTCAGCTAACTAGAGCCCCTTGTTACATCCAAACAAGGGGGATGTCAGTTCATTTAAAGCATGGTTTGCTCATGAGCCACGACGGTAGGACTCAGTTTGATGGAACGCATCATGATTTAAACAAGGTAGAATTCACTGAGTTCTGTTGCCTCCATACAGCCACTGAAGGGCAACAAAGCAGAAGGGGATGCACAAGCTCAGGGCTCCACATAGCAGTGGGGCAGTGTGGTTCTTTCCACCCCAGTGGAAAGGGATGGGGCAGAGCAGTTGACTTTTTGGCTCTCTGTTCCAAGTGCTGATCTCCACCTTGGAGCCCGAAGAATCCCTGGGTCCCCAGAATCCTTGCCCAGGACCACAGGGTCTCTCCCTTAAACACTTTCCTTTGAGTCTACCTTTCTGGCAGGCTGTGTTGGCCGAGTCCAGAAATGCAGTTGCCAGCCCTTCTCCCACCTTGCCCAGCAAGGAAAACTGGCAGGGAGCATGTCCCCTTGGGGTACAACTGGGTGAAAACACCCAGGCGCTTTGTGTCACCACACCTCACTCTGCCCCTCCACAGACTTGGTCTGTTTAGAGCTCATCAGCCTCACAGCTGCCAAACAAATCTCCACCTTCCTTCCAACATTGGAACAGGGAAGGACTGGAAATCCCTGCCCAGCTGTTGTGATAATCCACATCTGCTGCTTCAGAGCAGAGGGCACCCGATTCACCATGTCACAAAGAGGAAGATCGGGATCTCTTGCTGATACCAGACTGTAGGACATGGAATAAACCATTCAAGCTGCGGCAACCCAGAACCAGGCTGGGCAGCAGGAAAAGCGTCCTCAGTGTCAGAGCAATACGAATGTGGAACCAGCTTCCTAGAGAAGTTGTGGGCTCTCCCATGCTTGAGACGTTCATAGTGAAACTGGAGAGCCCTCTGAGTGGGATGGTGTGGCTTGGTGTGCTGCACCAGGAGGGTGTTGGACCTGATGTCCTTCATGGCCCCTTCCAACTCTACTCTTCTATGATTCTATGACATGAGCATCACTGCAGATGCCTGAAACTCCTGCAGTCATTGCATAGCTCTCAGATTGTGGGGCGGGCAAGATCTAGGTTCCCCATGTACCCCACGCTTACCCCTTCATAGAAGGAAAGACCTTTCTGAAATGAGTAATTTTTAGAAGCCCTTGGGGCAGATCAGAAGAATTACCTCAATTCTTCCAACTCCCTTCCAAAGAACTGGAATAATTTCTGAACATATGTTCATCCATAAACAAATTTGTGCTTCGTTGATTCCAGGCATGTCCAGCATCTATGGCTTCCTGGATCACCTTCAGATCTGGCTACTCACGCCCCAGCCAGCAAAGACCAATTTTTTCCTTCACAAAGAGTTCTCAAAAGGTGATCCATGAGCCTCCCCCCCATGCTAATTTCATCTCAGCTTCATTCCTAATGATTCCATCATTCTAATGGCATGATGGCTGCTTTTCATTTTTTAATGAAAATGGCAACTCAAAAGACCGCCAAGCAAAGTTTACAGTGTACAGTTGAGCAGCGATATGGTTTACATCTGATTATATCATTTCCTGATGTGTTTGATTTCTATTTTGAATAGCCAAAACCCCAAACTATTCACAAGCGCAGCTAAAATGCAGAAGATGAGATCATACGGTGCCAGACAATGAGGTCTGGGAACATTTTGTGGAAAAGAGTGTGGTTAGAGGGATGCAGTTTATTCAAAGAAAACGCTGACCACTGGTATCTAGAGAATAATTCCTAGGGTGAAGCAATGCTGATTTAGGAGCCAACAGGCAAGGAGCCCTCCATGCTGACCCCTAACCTGTGTGGGGTGGGGTGTATAAGCTGAGAATTCTCTTAGGATGCACCTGATATTCTGTACAAAGTAGACATCGTGGCAGCCTTAGGGCAGTGGGTCTCTGCTGAGATGTAGCAGCAGTGCTTCACTGCATGGAAGCAGCCTCGAGACCCATGGACGATGCTCCCAGGAACCCACACGTTCCGTGGGTCAGCCTCACGTCCCATCATTGCACTGTGAATTTGTTTCTTGGACCGTGCATGATGGAGTCTGAGAAGCATAATGGCGGCCACGAAAGAGGGAGGATGAGTCCGTAGTCAATGTGGTGTGACCAGCCCTTCACCAGGGGTTGCCATGGAATGAGGGCCCCAGGCAAATGCACTCTGGAACTGATTTGGTAAAGTGATTTTAGCTGGTTGTGCAAGGAAAGGCCTGTGTTGGGAGGGTCATTGCCAGGGGAGCAGGCAGTACTGAGCCAGATGGGCCCGTGGCTTAGGAGCAGGACCAGGACCAGCAGCAAGCTGTCACTGGGCAGCCGGTCACCATGACCTTAGCATCCCAAGAAGCCCCTCTGCCCTGCCACCAGGGGCCGGCAACAGCTCCCTCAACTGCCTCCAGGGGGTCTCTCCCTCAAGGCTATGGAAGCCACCAAAGAACATCTCCACACACACCCCCATCCCCCCCCCACACACACACACACATTACCATCCAACAAACCCAGCCTTGGCAAAGTGGGTGTAGCATAACCCAACTCAGTATAATCACATGGCATGACTCTAATGGCTCTGGTGTAAGATGTATACTGTGGCAGACGACCTGTTTTTCAAGCCATTATTCATGATAAATCACCACTTCATAAATGCCAGGAAGGGGTTTTGTGACATCTTGAAGACCAGATAGTTAACCTGGTATGTCATCAGATCTGTTGCCCCGGTCAACAGCCCTCCATGCCATCCCACAGCTAGCCTTGAATCTAGCTAGACCTGACAGCTAAGCTCTGCTCCTTTCCTAGTTCTGTGAACAGTGTTGGGTCTGGGATTTTGAGGGCTCCTGCATGAGGTCCCTCGCAATGGACTGCTTGCCCTTGGTAAGCTTGTGAATGTGTGGGAGAACGAGAACACAGCCGCCAACGATGTTCACAATTGCTCAATCACGCATCTCAGAGAAAAAGCCGTTCAGAATTACACAATTTTAAAAATGTGTGATCTCATGCTTTAATCTAGGGGAAAAACTATGCAACTGGAAAAATAAAATGCTCTCTTTCTTGCCCTTTTCCTGTTTGGTCACACTGAATTTGCAACATTTCTCCACAAGCCAAATGGCTGTCATGGAAATGGAAGGAAAGGCTTTGGAGGACTTGGATGAACATGGCTTGTTTCCTGTCTCTACCCAACTAGAACACGGGGGTCGTCTAGCAAAGCTGCTTGGCAGTAGGTTCGAGACTGGCCACCAGCCTGGTCATTGCCTCCCAGAAGTGATGGCCACCAATCTGGGTGGCTTAGAAGGGGACTGGGCAAAGTCCTGGGCAAGTAGGCTATGGATGGCTACTAGTCCTGCTGGCTCAAGGCTACCTCCACTATCAGAAACAGAATTCCTATGTACACAGTTGCTGGGGAACATGGGTTGGAGGGAGCTGCTGCACCCTTTTGCAGGTTTTCTGTGGGTGGTTGGTTAGTGCACAGAATGCTGGACTAGATGGTCCCCTATTCTGAGGACTCGGGGGGAAGCAAGAATGCAGAGAGCTAGATGCAGCTTCCACATGCGGACAAACCTCTGGATTCCAGATGCAGTGTTATCAAAACAGACATTACACTTGGTTTCATGCCTTCTTGGGAGCTTTCCCGAGCTTCTATTCTGATCTGGCAAGTTAGTTCTAACGATGTCACAGTTGTGGTTATTTCATTGAATGAAACTACTCTGCAAATGAATGGTATTAGCACGAAGAGGCCTGTTTTCTCTCCCTACCCACTTTAAGCCCTTGCTATTTTAGAAGCAATATTTATGGCAAACTGCCGTGATGTCAGAACGAAAACAAGCGCATTGTTGTTAAAGCAGGAGCATTTCGCTCTGATCTGATTTAATCCTTGTCAAAATATTCAGAGATGGGAAAATATGCTTTAATCCTGTCTCACCTCTCTCTCGTCCCTTTTGTCAACTGGTGGCAAATAATTTGCTTCCCAGTGCCAGGCTCACAATATCTCCAGTGCCACTTTGCAGTGATGGCGTACATGGTCATCCAGTGATATGCCCATCATGCACATCTAGGCTAGTCAGTGAGCCAGTGACTGGGACCCAGGAGCCATGGGATGAGCTGATCGTTAGGGCTGAAGATTAAACCAGGAGGCAGAGTCAAAGCACAAGCAAGGAGCCAAGACCAAAGGATATGGCAACACACTTGCACTCCGGAAGGCCTTGTTCCTCATGCAAACTTCCTCAGGGACAGGAAACCCTCTTCTATGTCTTCCTGTTCAGTGGCCAGCCAAGGTGGGCCTGATCGTATTTCAGGTTCTGAGGCACTGCCACCCGCAGTTCTACTGGTCACCTCATGGGGGAGCTGCACCCAGATCCAGCAGCTTCTGGCAATGGACTGCTGAGGCAGGGTCCATATTCTTCTTGTGGCCAAGGTCCATCGCTCCTCCATCCAACCTTTGCAGTTGGGTCTCATTCCCTTTGGGGTCCACGATTGCCTGCTTCTTTGCTTCATTGATAATATCCTGGAATATCCTGTCTTCTTGTCCATTTGGGAGCACAAAGCAGAGCTCTTCAATCTTCCTTGTGACGAGAACCTTTCTCTAAGGGCAGTATGATCTTGTCAGCTTTAAGTTCTACTCCTTTGCTAATTATACCTAACACGGCATTTGTGCTTTTCACAGTTGCTGCCCATTGGATCAACGTTTTCATCAAGCTGTCCACCACAACCCCAAGGTCTTGTTCTTGTCCAGTCACCACTCATTCATGTCCCATCAGCCGATACCTGCAGTTGGCATATTTTTCCCCAGCATGTACCCCTTTACATTGGCTTACACTGAACTGCACTTGCCGTTTTGATGTGCCTATTTCCCCAGAACAGAGAGATCCCTTTGAAGCTCTTTTGCAATCCTTTTATGTTCACACTTCTACTCAATATACCAATGAAATGCCTTGTTACAGTCTTTTCCAGTCTCTCTGTTTCCTCTTTTTTCTTTTTCAGTTCAAGCCTGGAGCTCTTGCCTGATGTTCAGTATGCGTTTGGGTTGCCCTTCTATCCGCAGTACGAAAACCAATATACTCTAGAAGAGAAGGCCCTCTCATTAGCTGTAATGCAGTATCTGGCCAACTTCATAAAATCTGGGTGCGTATGAAGTGTTTGTCTTGTGATCCCAAGAGCTGCATCATGAGCATGCCAGAACTTCTAAAGCACACAATGAGCTGTTCCCCCACCTATGCTCAAATGTAGAAGAAGGTTCCAACAGAGCAACTTGGAAGCCAACATTCAAGATCCTCTGGTGGGCATGTTCATGTATGGGGAACATCTACATAACAAGGCCAATAGAGTGTGGTCATAAACATTTGCAGTCAGGCCAGGCTTCCCCCAAAATCTGCTCATTCCACTTCGCTTTTGTTCTAATTCACTTTCACCTTTGTGGGTCTTTCTCATATTTAGTTGTGATGAGATTTAGCCAAACTTTGAGTAGTTCCATTGAAATCAATGGGCTTTATTCTAAGCCTGACTAACTGAAGTGCTGAAGTGCTAAAGTAACTTCAGTGTTTTCATTCCACGTATGACTGAGTCAGGATCCAACCCATAGCACTGTCAGTGAAGGCAAGATTTTTGAAGTAGCAAAGCACACTGATTTGAAGCACTTTTCCCAGTCCTCTCAGAGCTTTGCAAGACAGCTTGGCTCATTTGCAAAACCCATTTACACAAAGTTTCCTAAATCTGAGCTATTGATGAACACAGATGAAATATTGCAGCACCTGCAGTGAGTTACCGTAAAGAGGAATAAAGAAAATTGGACCTTTTGGGAGTCAATCAGAAAAGGAAAACAGAAGTAAGTGTCATCTGAAACTGTTGACAAGAACTAGCCTAAGAGGTGCTCATCCTTGTACAGACATATATGATTTTTTTACATTATTAGACTCCAAGGACAATTTTTGAAAGTTCAAAGTGGTTTAAACCACTGTACTGCTGGACTGGTAGATAGAAAGGTGGCCGGTTCAAATCTGCACAACGGGGTGAGTTCCCGTTGCTCCGTCCCAGCTCCTGCCAACCTTGCAGGTCAAAAGCGTGCACATGCAAGTAGATAAAAAGGTACCACTTTGGTGGGAAGGTAACAGCGTTCCGTGCACTTTGGTATTTAGTCATGCCGGCCACATGACCACAGAGACTGTCTGCGGACAAACACTGGCTCCCTCGGCTAGGAAACGGAGATGAGCACTGCCCCCGAGAGTCAGGCATGACTAGACTTAATGCAAGGGGAAACCTTTCCCTTTCCCTTTACCCTCTGATTCTAGTGATTACTTCTTTGCCATCTATCTTAGGAGCATGCTGTTAGAAGGGACCTCCAAGGCCACCTGGCCCAATGCAGGAAACCTACTGCTGCACCATTACTTTCAGCCTCTTAGTCAATGAAGGAGACTTCTGAGGCTTCCTTCCAAGGAAGGGGGAAATTATTGTAAAGCACAAAACCGTTCCATCTCTGTATCCCTTTGTTGGCTTAGACCAACAACAACCTAGTCTATCATAACAACTATCAATAGAACCATCTTTTTGAATGTGTCCAATCCATTTTCAGTGGCTCACTTCCCTTTTTCATTATTTTCGTGGGCTTGAGGGGAATTTGAAAACAGGATCCTCTCCCACCTTAATTGAGAACTATGCCCCTAGACCAAGCTGCAGTGCACAGAAGGAAGGCAAATGCCACTCCCTCTCAGGTGGGTCAACAAATGTTGCATGGACTGGCGGGACTGCAGGCTGGTGAGTCAGAATGAGCCGCTTCCTGTTGCTTTCCGCAGAAACCCAAACAGCCCATACAGATTCTCCAGAAAAGTGACTGGAGTCACCGTGCCTTGGCCTCTGTTTCGAGCAGACACCGATGGAGACAACTATAAGGAATTCACTGCTTCCTTGGAGAACCACAAGGGGCTGAAAAAGGCTGAATGTTTGTTCTGGTCAGATTATATCAAAACACTCCAAGCTTCAACAAACTGTAAGTGCCAAGACTACTTACATATATGTATAATTGTCCATGCATTTTACTCGTTGTGGGCTGATGTGCACGAACATGGTGCCTTCTCTACTTTTAATGCATGAAATGGCACGATCTCCTCCAGAATGCTTGGCTTGGCATTGGTGGGATGAGGCTTCCTCCATAGCTCAAGATACTTACTCACTTACAGCCTTTCTAACCCATCCACCACTAGCGACTTGGGACAGCTTACAATAAAAGATAGCATGCTTCCTTCCACCACTGGCTCTTGGCGTGCCAGGCATTGTTTGGATGGCCATGGAGAGCAGTGGTGTTGCTTCATCTTTCTGTGCGAGGCACAAGCAGGATTCCCCTTGCCAGTGATGAAAGCTACGTTACCAGAACTGCAGCTCTGAAGCATGGATGCCGGGCATCTTTCAGCCCAAGGGTAGGATCAATTTCAGAGACGCTCTCAGAACACTGCATTCCAGTGCTGGTTGGGCTGAAGGCAGAAGGGGTGGAGTCAACGCACCCCATCCACCAGCGTTTATTAGCTTAAAGCACTCACTTCCAATAACAAAGTGTTCAGAGAGGTATTTGGACCATTTGGAATGGGGAAACCCCTGCCAAAACAGGGAAACTATCAAATTATTGGAGAAATGGGGAAGGGACTGGAAGGACATGGCAATGTGTGGAGCCCTAGTGGGCCATATGGGCACCTCATGCTAGCCAGATTTGGCCCATCATCCTGAAGTTCAATGCCACTGCTCTAAACAGTTTGTAATCAGGCTACTTTTTATCCTGGAAGGGGACCAACCACTGAAATCATCCCTAGTGGTACTTCTCTGGGTGGTCCTTCTTCTGGAGGCCAGTGGTGACAACAGAATGGAAGGTCTTTTCTGTTGATGGGACTTCCACAGAAGGCGGGAATCCATCTGACACCATGGCTATTCTGCTTTAAGCCTCAAGCCAAAGCTTCTCTGGTTTGCTTGGGCAATTTTATTATATGCACTGGTTGCTTCACATTTGCCTCAGATCTTGCATTTTGCCCCAGGGCCTATTTTGCAGCTGTTCTTAGTCGTACAATTGTACAGGATGGAAATCTGTTTTTATGTCCAGTGTCTGTTTTTTATTTGCTTGGTTGACATACAATAGCCCTGGATTCTAGTTGTGGGAGGAAGGTAGCATATCATTTTTGAAAGGAAGTAAAGTTACCTGCACAGATTCCCTCCTAAGAGGGTGCCCAGGGAACACTGTGCATTGGATGTAAACAGCTGTTTCAAAAAATCTTGCAAGCTTTTGGACCAAGGTGTCCTTCCATGAAGCACGCTCTCGTGATACGGACTTTCCTATATGGATTTTGAATTGCAGCATTTTCTGAAATCACCCAGCTGTGTCATAAGAACATAAAAAGAGTCATACCGGGCCAGACCCAAGGGCTCCCTATTCCTGCATTCTTTGTCCACTGTGGCCATTCTGATGCCCATGGGAAGCCCTCAGCAGGATTAGAACTCATGGTTCCCCATCAACTCGTATGGAGCAACCACTATGCCTCTCTGATGCTAGAAGCACCAAATCACCATAACCGCCAGTAGCCATCAAAACCCTTATCCTCCACGAGTGGCTAAGTCCTCTGCTCCAGGTGGCGGGCATCTCCACATCTGCTGGTGGAAACTTGGAAGGAAGGTTAACTACTTGGAAGGCCTTCTTTTATTTGTCTAAAATCTTCTGCCATTTAGCTTCTTCGGATGACCCAGTTGGTTTCTGAGGCATCTGGATTCTTTCCTCAAGAACCATCATTATGCATCTCTGTCATGTCCCACCACCACTCGCTATTTTCCTAAGCTAATGAACTCTGAGTGTTCTCATCATTCTTCACTGGGGAGTTCAACTCAGGCCCTCGACCCATTCTAGCATGATTTGTTTTGGATTTGGATTATTCACTGCGAATGAATGCCCGGCATTTATCCATTCAGAATAAACAGTGAAGCTCATTAGCTAGAAGCTGTTGCCTCACTGAGAAATCATGCTTTGTGTTAGCCTCCTTCCCTTGGGTGATGCATCTTGTTTGTGTTGTGGTTGCAGGCAGAGGAGAGGAGCCCCCCGCACGCAAGCTCAGCGATGAACTGGCTGCGGCTTCTGTTTCGACAACCACGCAGGTGAAGCCACAAGCAGACAAGGTGGCATATGACAAGTAGAATGTATGTAGCATGTTGACCTACTCTGGACTGATGGGAAGGAATCGGAATCTGCCACACCTAAGAGGAGAAATCATGTTGTTGTAAAATAATGTCATATCCATAATGTCTTGCTATGATGTTGAGTGTGGAAGCAAGAAAAGCAAATCCAGAAATGGTGCAGGCATCATGCCATCTAATTGATGGCACAGGTTGCATATTGCAGCATCAAACTGTAAACACAGCACTCAATAAAAATATTAAAACTTTGAAATATGATTCTTCTTCCTTATAGTCCTCCAAATGACATCCCTCTAAAGTGAATGCATCACCTTTAGTGATGGGTGAACTCTCGATGGCTTGATTTGGCGTCAGTTCTATGAGCTGTATCCAATGTTAGTCCTACTCATGGTAGACCCAATGAAATGAATGGGACTTGTTAGATGATGATGATGATGATGATTTTCATTTCTATTGTTGTTGTTAGTCGCGAAGTCGTGTCTGACCCATCGCGACCCCATGAACAACATTCCTCCAGGCCTTCCCGTCTTCCACCATCCCCCAAAGTCCACCTAAGCTCACACCGACTGCTTCAGTGACTCCATCCAGCCACCTCATCCTCTGCTGTCCCCTCCTTCTTTTGCCGTCAGTTGTTCCCAGCAGTAGGCTCTTCTCCAGGGAGTCCTTCCTTCTCATTAAGTGGCCAAAGTATTTGAGTTTCATCTTCAGCATCTGGCCTTCTAAAGAGCAGTCAGGGTTGATCTCCTCTAGGAGTGACCAGTTTGATCACCTTGCGGTCCAAGGGACTCGCAGGAGTCTCCGCCAGCACCAGTTGAAGTTCTCTGCATATAGCCCTATTCTTGGATGAGAGTTTGAAAAGTATTGGACACTGTCCTAAATCAGCAGGCATCTTAGGTGAGGGTTTGTCGTTAGTTTCTAGAGAGAGCTCCTGAGCTCACAACTCAGAGCACATGCACTGAGAGTGCCCCTCATTTTTATACCACCTACCTTCTAAAAACTTGCAGTTGGAATTCAGCATTCCCTTTGGAGGACCAGCCATGCCAGCGAGGCGCATTGAAGTTAACTGTGCAACACATCCACCTACCCGTCCACCCAGAGGAACACAGGAGAGTCTAGGTAGTAGAACATTTTTATGTGTGCTCCTCCAGCACAACCAGCTTTGGAGTTCATGAAGTTGCGCAGCAGTCAAGGGGATTCATCCAGTAAAGGGGCAACATTGCATAACTTCTGTTCATGCTCATACCAAAATTCTGGCTTTGGGATGCCAATTTGTTGAGCATTGGCTATGTATGCTCAGAATCTCAGTTCATCCTAGTACCTTGGAGGAAATGGTACTCAGCGCATGCTAGAGTGAGGCTTTAGGACCTAGGTGTACAAGAAATGAGGTGGTGGCACATTATGGTTTAAGGGAAAAGTTTTCTGCCTTCAGTGCAAGAGGTTTGGAAAGAAAGATGTGACCTACTGAAACACCTTTTTGGTGGCTGAAGTCTATGGAAGCCCACAAGGAGGATACGAACAGAAAAGTACCCAGGTTGAAATGTCAGTTCAGGATGCTGCTGAATCAATAATTCATTTACAGATAAAGGAGAAATCAGTTCAGTCATATTGTAATGGTAACCTGCCTAAACTGACATATTCAAAATGCTATGCACAATGAAATCCAGTTATCCTTCGAAAGTTGCACTTTCCCAAATTCTGCAGTGGAATTTGCCAATGAAAATGCATACAAAATACATTTATTTGGGAAATTGACATAAACATACAATATGTTAGAAAAACTCATGTAAGAATGTGCATGGGGGGGGGGAATGTACAAAATGCATGTAAAGTGTGAAATGTTCACAAAAAGCCTAATGCATTTTCATGCAAACTTGTCAAAAAAGCTCAAGATTGAGAAGACAACTTTGCACTTAAGAGCAGAAAAATGTCCAAGCTGAGAAGCCTGTCAGGGGAAAAAATGAAAGCCTTAATTCAGCAGCTCAGATACGCTTGAATAGGCATGTAGTCAAACTTAGACCTTTGACCAACAAAGCTCTGGGCCTAGATGGGTGAATGCATCTGTTTTCGTCTCTCTCGCACTCAGTTTTCTTTTAAATTTCACATTTTTTTCCATCTTCAGTTGGAATACATTTCCAAATTTTGGTGAATTCTTACTCAAAATTCTCACTGAAGTTCTTTAAATTCCATCTGGAAGTTCATTCTGAACTGAATCTGTATCAGATTGCAAGCTTTCCCCACACGTTTTGCATGAAAGTCTGTGCACATTTGCCTGTGCAATTTTTTTAAATGAACACATGCATAGAAACATAGAAACAGAGTGAGTCAGAAGGGGTCTCCTGGGCCATCTAGTCTGACCTCCGGCACCAGCCAGCTCCGCTCACAACATGCCCACCATGTGGATGTCCAGCCTATCCTTGAACACCCACACCGATGGGGCCTCAATGACCTCTCGTGGAAGCCCATTCCACACCTTCGGGGTCCTGACTGTCAGGAAGTGCTTCCTGGCATCCAAATGGAACCTGGGCTCCCTGAGCTTTGCTCCGTTGGAGCGCGCCCTGCCTTCCTCTGCAGGGGAGAACAGGTCTCTCCCCACCTCCGTGTGACATCCCCTCACATAGCTGTATGTCGCCAACAGATCCCCTCTGAGTCTCCTCTTCTCCCGGCTGAAGAGAACCAGTTCCCTCAGTCTCGCTTCATACAGCATCCCCTGCAAACCTGCCACCAACCTTGTGGCCCTACGCTGCACTGACTCCAACCTGGCTATATCTTGTCTGTAATCAGGGGCCCAAAACTGAACACAATACTCCAGTTGCAGGCACACCAGAGTCATGTAGAGTGGTAGTAATACCTCTTTTGATCTAGAAGCCACACTTCTGGCTATGCAACCAAGGGTGGCATTCGCCCTCTTGAGCACCGCATCACACTGCTGACTCATGTTTAGCCTGCAGACAACCAATACCCTGAGGTCCCTTTCACAAGTGCTGCTCTCCAGCCACTTGTCCCCTAACCTGTACTTATGACACCTATTCCTATGCCCCAAGTGCAAGACCTTGCACTTATCCACATTGAACGCCATCCTGTTGTCTCCTGCCCACTTCCATAGTCTGTCCAGAACCTTTTGGATCTGGAGTACCTGCTCCTCAGTTGTGGCCACTGCTCCAGTTTTAGTGTCATCTGAGAATTTGATCAGCAGACTGTTCACCCCTTCTTCCATGTCATTAATGAAAAGATTAAACAGGATTGGCCCCAGGACAGATCCCTGGGGGACCCCGCTTGTCACTGGCCACCATCCCGATGATTCCCCGCTAATGGTTACCTTCTGCTTTCGGTCAGTCAACCATGCCCTAATCCACCGGACAGTGCTTTGGTGTATCCCAAAACTCCTCAGTTTCTCCACCAGGATATCATGGGGCACTTTGTCAAAGGCCTTGCTGAAATCCAAGTATACCACATCCACTGCATCCCCTCCATCTAGCCATCTCGAAACCTTGTCATGGAATTCCATGTGGTTTGTCTGGCAGGACCTGTTTTTGCGGCAGCTGGGTTGTGTGGCTGTCAGCCTCCCTTCCCTGCATCATACATATCTTTGAAATGTATGCATTCTTTGTCCATTGTTTAAAGCTTCTTTGTGTACATTTTTCAAAAGCACAGTTTTCACATTTCTTAGATGTAATGCAGCTTGCAAGAGTGGAAGTCCACATCATATTGCAACTCTCTTGTGTTCACTCCGGAAGGTGTGAACTGGATAAATCCTGATCAAAATCAATCTGAAACTGATTTCTCATACAGCCCTGTTTCCAATGGGTTGAACTGAGCTTCTTGTCCATCTCTAGCTTAACGGATCATAGGTAGCCTCCCTAAGGAAATGATCCTGACCTGGAACTTGCCACAATTCTGCGCCATCCATGCACAGAGACTTCTGAGCTGGCTGGGTCAGTGCTCTAACCTGGTGTAAGGCAGCTTCGTGAGGTTATATTGAGCAGGATCACCCATGCGAGCAATTCAGAAAGGAAGTGGTGGCAAACAAACCATGGAAACACTTTCTTTTTAAGATGAATATTTACATAATCTAAGTATTTTTGAGAAAATGGAAACTTGCACCCTGGAAGAAAGCAAAAAGAACGTAATTGGTGACCGGTTGGCACATGCTTCCTAGTATCTTAACCAAACTTGTCAAGGCATCACAGGATGAAATTCCAGCAGTAACAGCAGTGGGAAGCACGGATGGGTGGGAGGTTTTTGGACAGACTGGTGACAACTGGAAAGGCGGCCTCCTGCAAAAGTGAGAATCTGGTTCTGAGGCCCCCTGAGGATGTCCTCTGGTGCTCTGTCCAAGCCAATGATGATGCAATTCCTGTATGGTACTCTGCTATCCATTCTTGGCAAGCCAGTTGCCAAGCGACCCAAGAATCGTTCAGAAAATTGTACCTGGACTTGGTAGCTGCCTCTCAGAAAACTGCTCCCTCACCCACCCACATGTCCCCACACACCATTCCAAATCCCTGGAAATGTCAGGAGAGCTTAAACTTTCCAGATTCATGTCCAGTAATTGGTGACTCAGTCTTTAAATGAAGGCCTGGTCATAGAATTTTCATTGGTGTGTTTATTCTCTGCTTTGCGTAAGAAATCCAGACAGCTCAGTGTCTGAAAAGCTTGAAGCGATTTGATGACCGTCATTCCACATTAACACCTTGACTGGCAACATGGTAAATAAGGCCGAGAAGGAGAAGAAAGCTGTGAGGAGGCAGCTAGCAAAAGCAGTCTCACTCATTTCCAAAAGAAAATTTTAACTACACACTTAACAGTTCTGTTGAACTGATTTGGACTCAAAGTGGCTTCCCAGGCTAGAATGTGGCTCTTACTTAAGTTCTCTGGTCTGTGTGCATTATACTAAAACCATTTTAAAAATTAATTAAAAGAGCACATAATAAAATCAAAAAGAACAATAAAGAACAAAGAACATTCCAGGGCATAAAAATAAAGGGAAATCTAGCAGCCATAAAAGAGCGGCTTCCTAAAAGTATGGGACACACACCAGTTTTTAAAAGGCTTGGGAGAATAAAAATACCAGAACAGAGGAGCCAAGTGAGTCCCTTCTATGGAGGTTGTTTTGCAGACAGAGTGCCACCACTAAAAAGGCCACCTCACCTGTGGCCACCCACACAGCTCATTTAGGAACAAGGGAAGAAGACTTTTACTGATTCAGACCCAGTTTGGTCCCCATATTGTAAACACTGACTGGCAGCAGCTGCC